GTGCTGAGGAAGTATCACATGATAGCATCGGCGCTCCCTCCCCTCGATGACGAATCGTCCCAAGATCCTTGTCAGCGGAAGGCAGGAGCGACAGAGCGAAATATCGCCGTGTGTGCCTGGCCTGGCGATGGTGGCGGGTTATTGGGGTGATCATGAAGGAGGGGAGGGGGGTCCGCCTCCCCCGGGGCGACCGAGAATGGAGCAAGTGAAACGTGGGCGGAGAAGGGATTTGAGAATGTCGGTGCAACTTGGTAGCAGCATCAGGGGACTGATGAAATGCATGGGTGACGCCATTGGATGAAAGGGTGAAAGAAGGGGGGGGGAGGGAACAAGGCACGGCAGTCGAGGTAAGTGCGTGCTGGATCGGAGTTCTCGCAGACGTCAACGACGAGATCGCCATCCAGCTTCCCATGGACCCAAAGACCCAAAGGGGTTGTCCACACAAGGTCCACCAGGCTCAGCTTTGCATGTGTCGTGTCTTTTTGAGCCATACGGTAGGTACGGAGCATCGTTGTGCTTGAATAGGCTATCGAAGAGAAGCGCGGTGGTTAACTAGTGGCCGTTGATGCTGTGCGAAGGCGGAGACTAACCAACTACGAAGTATACGAATAACCACCGAGATTAGTATGCGTACTAACAAGGCTCGAAGAATACACCAACTACTAGAACTACTAACGGACTACTAGTTAGATGGTGTACCTCGGCCAAGGGCGAGACGAGCAGGCAAGTTGCGGGGTTGAGAGTTGCCGACGGGATGTTTTTACAAGTGTTCCTTTTTGCTTTTTTTCTTTTCGCTTCTGTCCATCTAGTTCGTTGGTCCATGATCAAGGACGCGAGATTGAGTTGCTATGACTTTTGCAAGATTGTCTCTGTCAAGGAACAGAAAATGCATGCCACAATGCAACTAACCCGCCAGGTGGAGCGAAACTCACAGAACCCAGGAGTCCATATAAACCAAGAAGCCACAGCTACAAAACGAGGGAGAGCAAAAAGTCGACTTTTATTGGTCGAATTACTTGAAAGTTTAGAACGGGCCGCAGTGGCAAGCTAGCTCGATGATTTGCCCCGACCGGCAACCGGCCAACGCTCCGATGCGTGTTCGTCTGAGCTGCCTCCTTCGTAACTAGTCAGTCAAGCCAACAGCCAAAAGCTTGCGCGTAGCGGGAAGGAGACGGGGGAGAGTTTCAGAGGCGGGGGGGCTCTTCCTCAAGCTTCAACGGCCCTTCTAGTTACCCAAGCCTTCAAGCAAGCCCAACCGTTACAAAGCCACCTGCTGTGGCTCTTTTTTTTTTTTTAACCCGCTACTGTACTTCCCACAGCTTGTTGCCCGAGCGAGCTTAGCGAAGAGGGGTTTACCTATCGGGGCTGCCGCGACATGGAAGGGGGGGGGGTCCGGGTGAAGCTGGAGGAGAGAATAGAAATTCGGCTCGGCCAATCAGAGGCGCTACACAGAGACCAAACTTGCTCGAATGGGGACTTGGGGTTAATCGTACGATGACTCGTGCCTGCAACCCTAGCCCAAACCAAACCTCGGGGACGGAAGGCTTTGGTCGCCCACCTTCCGACATGTTCCTGTCCGTTGTGGTTGTGGCCGTTATTCTCATTTTCGAGGTTCAAGAGAAGGACAAAAGGTGAAATAAAAAAAGTAAAAGTTTTCATCATCAAATTTGCGTCTAACCTGGTCGACACAACGTCATGGGAACGTCCGCCGTTTTCGGCAAGACACATCACCCCCGGCAGACAAGGGCCTCCCCTGTCAAGCACGAGGGGGGGGTGTGAAGGGGGAGAAACTCGCGGTGATGATCCGACAGGGCCGCTCAGGTTGTCACTTTTCTGTCAATCTGTTGTTTTGTCCAGCTTGACAAGGGCCAGGGAAGTTTTGGGGAAAAGGAACACCGCAACAAAAAAAAAGGCTGTGCGAGTGGGACTAACGGACGGTGAAGAGAAAGAACAAAACTGAACACACATCCCAAAAGCTTCATCAACAAAGTCCAAGCCCATACCTTCGCTCCCCGCCGCCGTCGCCGCCAAACTCCAGGGCTGGGGAGGGGGGCGGTGGGCATGCCGTAGCACCGTAGATCACTGCGTCCTGAGCTGTGCAAGGATCTAGGTCCGGGCAAGGGGTTCGCGCCAAGCTCACTTTGTAGATGGTTTTTGTCGTCGTTTGTTGATGAACGAGACGAGGAGGAGCAGCCAATGCGAATGGGCCGCGGGGATGGAGAGGGAGCAGATTGAAACACATGCAACAACAACGTTCGTTTCGTTTGCAGAGACAAGAGACGAGACCAGACCAGACCAGACCAGAACAGACCAGACCAGGGGGACGAACGAGCTGCCAAACGAAACGAAGCTTTTATTTTTATTTTATTTTTATTTTTATCTATCATGGTGCATGCCTGCGGTGCTGGTGTTGTCTCAGTGCTGCCTTTGCCAAGTGGTGGTGTACGGAAGTACGGATGAATAATAAGCTCTAATAATAAAGGGCGTTGGAGATGTCGACATGGCTGGCGTCATTCGTCCTCGACACACACACACACACACACACACACACACACACACAGCCTTTGTCCGCCCAGCCGGTGAACTTTTTCCTTCCCGTCCCTTGCGATATCGCTTGGCATGACGCAGTCGGTTATCCAGAGAATGCCTTCTTCCGCTTAACGTCCTGGGCTGGTCACTAAGCTTCTGGTCTTCCCGCTCTCGCCAGCTCACCACCACATTCATTGGGGCAGGGCAGGGCAGGGCAGGGGGGGGGGGGGGGGGGGGGGGGTATGGCTATGCATCAATCAGCGTTGACTAAGCCAAAAGAAAGCTGAGATGGTGTTTTCTGTTGCCATAATAAATTATAATTCAAGATTCGGACAGTCTAGGATTGCCTGCCCATCTTGTCCAAACATGGTCCCCCCCCCCCCCCC